CTCTGTAATTAATGCTTGTCACTGAGTAAGTAATTCTGTTTATCCTACAGCTTTTGAACTTATCAAAAACTCTCGAAAATCAACATAACGGTTTACTATATTGATACAAATTGACAAAAATGATATTATAAAAAGAGAAGTATGTATTTTTCATGCTGTATGAAAGACATAATTCTATAATTGACGAACTCGAGATCTATTTTTGGACTAATTGAGAATCACGCAAGCTAATCTTATGTCACGCAACATTAAATACTCGAAAAGTGATAGAAAACGTTATGTATGCAAATACTGCATTGAACGATGTCAACTTGACAACCGTTTCGAGAATACTGCATGTATTTTGACCTCTGCTGAAGCTGCTATCCATTGGCATTTTTTCCTACGGCATATGGACCAAAGAAATGTGAGCGTCTCCCAGCTATGAAACATATTTCACTGAGAACGTAGTCTGACACAGTACAGTGACTAACACAGTGTTCCAGTAAGTACAGAAAATCAGGAAAAAACTGAGTGAACATAAAGAGTGTATATATTTAGTTGTCTTTTGTTATACAGTAAATTTGTGCAATGGATAGATGATTGATGAATATTTGAGAACTAAATGTTAAAATTGGTTTCATAGGAGTATAATTGACTGAATCACTTTTGAAAACAGGTTTTGAAAATCACATCCTTAAATATTACAAAAATAACATTACTTTGCCATTTAAAGCTCAYTGATCTCTCGGTTTTGATTTCTTTCTGTCCCTACTTGAGAAGGAAAAGAAAAAAGTATGAAAAAATGCTTTTCAAAAGATAAATTGGATTCCCTGTGGAAGCATAACGGAGGCTGCGTCATCAAGGGTTTTATAATTTAGTCACGAGACTTTACTTCTTCAGTCAACATTCACAATGGCTGCCATTCCATACGTGAAAGTTCTTGAGGAAGAACTCGAATGTTCTATCTGTGGTGATGTTTTCAAAGATCCAAGAACCCTTGAATGCTTTCATAAGTTCTGTTTTGGATGCATCAAAGATTTCACGGAGAGAAGACTCAAAAAAGAACAGCTTCCATGTTGTCCGATATGTAAGGACAAATTTTATYTCCCACAAGGAGATGTTTCAATGCTGCGATCTTCAGTTTACCTCAACTCATTGCTGAATCTTCTCAATGACATGAAAAGTAACGACATAAAAGACGAAGAAGACTTGCCAAACTGTGCCAGCTGTGGGAAGAGAAATAAACTTGTGTCGTTTTGTCCACAATGCGATGGCACGATCTGCACTCATTGTGTAAACAAAGATGGACACCAAGAAATGATGTTCACCGATTTCAAGAGGGACCACTTGAATAGTTACATCAGGAATCAAGTCCATTGCCAAGAAAAACTACACGAGAAAGACAAACTGGAGTACTTCTGCCAGTCTTGTAGCAAATGCGTTTGCCAAAAGTGCACAGAGACTGACCACAAATCACATGATCGGATGAGTCTAGAAGAAGCTTCAGAAAAAGCCAAACAACCAATTGATCGAGACGTGAATAAAGTAAAGCAACTGAAAGAGAAATATCTACAAGAACGTGAAGTTTCCAAGCAAAACATGGAGAGATATGGAAAAGAAATTGCCACTGCAATCAGGAAAGTTCGTGAGTTAACTAAAAATTGTATGAAAATTATACAAGACCATGAAGTTCTGATGATTGCCACTTTGAACAGCCTTTGGTATGACCAGAAAGCAGCAAACGATGTTGAACAGAAAGAAATAAACACTGGTATGCTATTTCTGACTGACTTTGACCATGAAGGGCAGGCAAGTCAAGATCAAAACATCGCGCACTTTATTTTACAAAGTCAAATGGAACTTCCCCAAAGAAATGAAGAAATGCTTGAGAAAACATCTGTCCTATCGTGGCAACCAGCAAACCGCAACGCAGGCGTTGAATATGTCTCAAAACCACGTGACCAGATAGAGCAACTACTGCAAGAAGTTGGCAAAGTCGTGGAAAGCGTGAAAGAGCCTTAGGACCCTGAGAACCGTGAAAACATAACGCTAGTAGAACATAGATTACATCAAAATAAATGCAAAGTATAGAGCTGATTATAAACTGATTGCATGCTCGAGAATAAGAGACTATCTATCAGATCTGTGTATTCACTATATATGCCCATATCGTATATAAATTTGAAGCCGTTGTAATTTTAGGCTGTTTATCTGACGGGTGCCGTACAGTTTTTGTGCGGTACRAAACTATATAGTAATAAACATGCCTCTTTGTATCTTTTAGTGTTGATTTGACTGTCTCAAAATAATWACTAAGCTCTAGTTCTCAAACTATTGAGCACTCTTAAAGCAATTTTTGCTTTATTTATAGTTAAATTATATATATTTACTATATAATATTTATTTTATGAATCAATGAAATAAATCAAGTAAAATATGGACATCCTCATGAATGTCGTTGAATGTTCTTTGGTCACATTTTACCAAAGAAGAAAATATTACTAAGCTACAAAAGTGGATGTCTAGCGTGACATGGCGTGACAGTTGAACGTTATCATTATTTCACATGATTCAATCTTCTTCAAAGTTTCTTTTTGAACCAATACTTGAAATTATGATCAGTTTTGAAATTTTTTACAGGCTCAAAGCTACAAAACTATCTAAATTGTATTCGCAGTGTTCTAAGATCTCACCTATGACGTCACAAGGGGAAAGCCCCAAGAGCACGAGATCACTGTCGCGTAACGCCCCTTCACTATACACACGTTCTACAACGATGGCCACAGTGTCTGAATACGCCGACATTCTCGAAGAAGAACTCACTTGTTCTGTTTGTAGTGATGTCTTCAAAGAGCCAAAAACACTTCAGTGTTTTCACAAGTTCTGTTTTGAATGCATCAAAGGCTGGATTGATAGATGTAATCGAGATAAACAACTTGCACGTTGTCCGATTTGTAAGGAGAAGATCTTCATCCCTGAGGGAAATGTCTCGAAGCTTCGCTCTTCGTTTTATCTTGAGTCTTTGTTGCAGCTTCTTGATGCAATGAAAAGTGCTCCAAAAACTTCAGCTGAAAACGCCCAGAAGGGAGAGAACTTCCCAATTTGTGTTAGCTGCGAAAAACGTGCCAAACAAGTCGCGTTTTGTCCCCAGTGTGGTGGGATGATCTGTAATGACTGTGTAAACATACATAACACTTTAAAGACGTTCAAAGATGAACACCAGGCAACACTGTTCGCAGATTTCAAGAAAGAACATGTCAACAGCTACATAAGAAACCAAGTTCATTGCCAAGAGAAATTTCATGACAAGAACAAGCTTGAATATTATTGCCAAAACTGCAGTAAATGCATCTGCCAAAAATGCGCAGCAACAAAGCACAGCACACATAACAAAGTGAGCATTGAAGAAGCTGCAGAACAAGCCAAACAATCCATGGAAGAAGACATGAATCGGGTGGAACGTTTAAAAGATAAATATCTACAAGAACTTGAACTTTCAAAGCAAAACATGGAAAGATATGGAAAGGAAATTGACATCGCAAACAAGAAAGTTCGAGATACGACTAAAGAATACATGAAAATGATACAAGACCATGAAACACTGATGATTGCCACTTTGAATAATCTTTGGCAAGACCAGAAAGCTGCCAACGACAAGGAACAGCAAGAAATCAACGCTGGCATTGTATTTCTCTCTGATTTCAACCTTCGCAGTCAGGAATTACAAGAACAAAATGTGTCTCATTTTATTTTACAAAGTCAGCAGGAACTTCCTCAAAGATGTGAAGAATTGCTGGGGAAAAAATCCAGTTTATTGTCTAAACAACCAACCTATCGTAACGCAACCGTTGAATACATTCCTAAACCCCATGTCACGCAATTCTTACAAGATCTTGGCAAGATCGCGGAAAGTGTGACAGATCCGTCACGTTGTTCGATGGAATCTTTAAAGGATGTTCTTTGTGGGTTTATCAACGAGTTTCAGATCGTAACAAGAAACACCGAAGGAAAACTCTGTTCTACCAAGAGATCCATGCTTGATGTAAAAATAAATGATAGCGATGGCCATGATGTCGGGTGGGATATCATCGAAAGTGGAACTGGACAATTTACTGTGACGTACACCGCTGTTAAACCGTCCCCTTACAATGTTTCTGTAAAGATTGGTGGAAGATCAATCAGCAATTCACCAAAGACGATCAAAACCCTCGATCCAAAGGAGGAATTTAAACCTGTTAAGATTTTTAGCGGAGAGGGTTTTGGCAAAAGCCAGCTGAAGGGCCCTTGTGCAATGGCAATCGGTAATTCAGGAGAGATTGCAATTGCCGACTATGTAATCCACCGCATTGCAATATTCAGTGTCGATGGACAGTTTCTGAGAGAGTTTGGCCATGAAGGAATACAAGATGGTGAACTAAGTGGACCATGCGGGGTCGTCTACAATGATGATACCATACTCGTAAGCGACAACCCACTTAGTAATGGTAGAATCCAAGAATTCGATACCAAAGGAAATTTTCTGAAAACAATGTACAAAGAAAGAAAAATTGTTATATTAACAATGTGTACATCAGATGAGCACATTGCAGTTTGTTGCCAGGGTGACAAAGATGTCCATTCCTGCATAAAGCTATTCAGCAAACAAACTGGACAAGTTGTCCAGGAATTTTCTGGTAATAAAAACCAAATGCCATTTCATGTGGCTTACGGTAACAGCAAATACTTTGTCACCTTTATAGACAACAGCTATATCCACGTATTTGACAAGAAAGGCGTTTTTCAGAAGAAGTTTGGAGAGAAAGCGAAACGTGAAGGACAAACTATATCGAATTGTTTGGGCGGACTGGCAGTCTATGGTTCTGACATGATTTTAGTCTGCGATAGCTTCAACCATCGTGTTCAGCTTTATACGCAAAGTGGGCGCCTCATAAGATCGTTTGGTCACCATGGTACCAATGTCGGCGAGATGCACGGCCCTGTCGATGTTGTTGTTACATCTGATGGCAAAGTCTTAGTGTTGGAGTACCATGGCAACCGTGTCCAAATATGGCAGTAATTGACGTTACTATGGATGCTGTAGTGACAGTATATTGCTTGCACAAAGAGCTGCCACTATTATATAACATTATTACATACTGCAGGATTAAATTATAGTTTAGAAAACAACATAAGAAAGTGGCATTTAATTGAGTATTTAATGGCGGATTTAATAATCTACGGAAGTCCTGGCGTCATTTTGCTTGCACTTGCACACAAGCGTTATAAGACTATTTAAGAAACTTATACAAAGTTATGAGCTATTTTTCCTTAGCATAAACATTTCTAGAATTGAGACTGAACAAACTATATGCTTTATCTGTTTTGCAGCTTTCTTATTTTTTTCCATTTGGCTTTTATTATGTATAAAACTATGCTATAATTTCATAAATTTAGTATAAACATTATAATAGAACAACTCTGACAGCGATTAAGTCATTATTGTGACAATAATGGACCCTACACTTGTTAATCTCTGGCTTGGTTATATCTATTGTTAATAAATGGACATTGTGTTAATGATGTGTTAAGCATTAGCTGTTTTACTATGCATGTACTGACCGTTCGTCTCCGTTCCCTTATCATCATGGTCGTTTATGTAAGTCGATGTAATTCCACTATAATCAACACCTTTCCCCGTGCTTACATGTCTTGTTCCACTGTTTTGTCTGTTTTCTTTTAATTCAGTTTAAACTTTATTCATTTGACAGGAAAAAAGAAGTCGCAAGACTTGAATTACGAGAAGTTTGATAACATGGCAGAGGCTAATCAAGAATGGAATTTGAATCAAGTAGTAACGTCTCCAACTAAAACCACAACAGCAACCAACAATGAATGGAATGTAAGTCAGCCGTCAGCTCCACCAGCAAGCGCCACACAGCCAGCTAAACAACAAACAGAAGCTGCAGAATGGAATATAAAACAACCTCCTAAGACACAGCAGGGTAATACACTGCCACAGCGGAATTCCACTGAACAAAAGTCTCAACCTGAACAATGGAGTAGTGTCCAACAGTGGCCTGTCGACCAGCCGTCTGCCGTTGCACCTGTAGTTGAGGCTGTTCCGCCACAACAAACAAAACTGACACCAGCTACTGACCAGGTGAATAATTCTCCACCTTTTGAAACAATTACCACTTCTCCTCAAAAAACAGAAGTGCCTACACCTGACAATCAGCAAGTTATTGTCGATAAGAGCGTGGCTGAAACAGAGAACTCAAAGGCTACAGTAAATGCACCAGCCCCTCATGAGCAAGCGGCTCCCACTGTACAAGCAGAACCGCATGCGGTACTTCCTGGTAAAGTAGATCAACCAACAGCTCAGCCAATTACTCCACAAGCAAAACCAACAACTTCATCTGCGCCTGCAACTCCTCCTGCTTCAGAAAAAGAGGTTCCACAATCAATCGTAGAAGAAACAAGGAACCCAGTTGTATCTCCTACTTTTGAGGTGCAGTCTATGCCGTCCAAGGAAGATCCATCCACCGTTTCGCAGAAAACGGCGGTCAAGTCAGTAGCACAAGTGTCAGTTGAGTCTCAAGTCTCAAGTCATGGAGCACCTAAAATAACAACTCAACAACCTCAGCAGCAGCAACAACAACAACAGCAGCAACAACAACAACAGCAACAACAGCAACAACAACAACAACAGCAACAACAACAACAACAACAACAGCAGCAGCAACAACAATAACAACAGCAACAACAACAACAACAACAGCAACAACAACAACAACAACAACAGCAGCAGCAACAACAACACCTTACGCAGGTAGCCGAGTCTGCTCCGGTGGTTATGTTACCAGCCACTAAACCAAAACCAAAGCAAACAAGCGTTCAATCTGTGCAGCAGTCACATCCTCAGCAAACAAGCGTTCAACCTGAGGTCAAACCAAAAACATCTGCGCCTAGTCCAGACACGTATGAATTAAAAAGAGAAGGTGGAGATGACATTCCTTTAGACGAAAAACAAAAAGGCGTATTTTGGCTCGGTCCAGATCTAGAGGGATGGGTGGACAAGACTAAAGCACTCAAGGAAGAGTTTCGGCGTCAAAGTGATGCAAATGAGATGTACTTTGTCAAAAACCTTCAAGAAAAAGACTTGAAATCCTTGAATGTTTCCGAAGATCCTTCGAAATACTTATTCCATGTTACAGATCTCAAGGGAGTGGAGGTTGTAAATCTGATAAAGTGCATTTTAAACGAACACCACCACTCTGAAACAGGACCGTTTTTCTTCCAGTTTGGCGAAGACAAGAAGTTTAAGCTAGAGCTCCTACCCACGGCCACACAGCCTGGTAACGGGTTAATTAAGTCGGTTGGTCGGCGAAAATATTATTCTTACCCCGACATTTGCGACATGTTGAAAACCGCTGGTGTAACATCCAAAGGGCTTGGAATTATGCTCCAGAAGCTTAACACAAGTGGTCTTAAGTCAGCCCTTCACAACCAAATCAGCCCGATGAATGAATTACATTTCATGTTACTCTTTGAAGTAGCGAGAAGACTCGTCCGAGGTCCCCACGGGTTTTCTCTGTCCACGGAGCCTGAGATCGATCAGTTACCAATCGGTGTTGCAGTGGGACGGATGATAGCATTATTTTGTAGGGGAAATTACTGTCTTAATTACGAAGCTGTGTTCGGTGCGCAAGACAAGTACAATCCGTTTTCTGACAATAGTGTAGTCCTTCGTAGACAGAAAATTTACGCTTTAAACAAGTTGTTTTACGACGCTGAAGTGAGGCCTCAGTCTGCGGAGAATCCGTACATCGCGAAATTTTTGAAGTATCATAACGGATACATCATAAAAACAACAAAAGGATACTTAGACGAGCTTGACATGGCCTTCAGAGGATTTTGAGCAGCTGGATCACGCCTTGTTGACTTAGCTAATACGAGAAACTGTAAAGTTAGTGTAAACAGACTTTTCAATTGAATACTTATAAGTGCAAAACGTTGGAAACATTACTGCGAACTATGGCAAATAACAAAACCAATGTAAACTGCAGCAAACTAGATAGCAAGATTGCTTCAACAGTGATGCCCACAACAACTTGAGCAGCACTAGCATTAACCATGGACAGCAGTAACAACAGCACCAGCAACAACTACAACAACAACAACAAACTGCAGTTCAGTTGACGCAAAGTCGCCCATGCCGTTTAAGAAGCAATCTTATAAGTGTCTATTGTCAGAACTCATGGGTTTCTGACTACCGCCCGTCTCGACTTGTAGTTGTGAATAACATAATAAATTATATGCATTAATTGACAAAATGAATAAGTTCTTTTTGTGTTTTTGATATGTGAGTAAATCGATTGATATGTTAAAGAGCTTTAGGGTAGTGATTTATTGCAAATATTGAAGTTCAAAACAATATTAAATGTTTAGTGCATGTATTCAGTAAATATATACATAATTGATTAAAATTTAAAAAAGCATTTAATCTTATTGATTGGTATTTATATACGATATCAAAAACACTTATTATTTTCGTAAATAATGTTTTAAAAATTGATCCCAATTACATCAGACGTCAAGGAAGGAAGTCAAATAACCTATGGAAACATACCGTGAACTGTATATCAAACCGACACACTTTATTTCACGGGTTTAGTGTCTTCACTCTATCTGACCATACCCTTGACCAACCTTACCCATGAATAGTGTTTCGTGAATTCGTGCCTCCCTGATTTGTAAACTTTAAAACGATTGTTTTCCTTTTTCTGCGTGTCTGTAAAGTGAACTGTAAAAATCCCTAACTATAGCTATATAAATACGTGTGTTTCTTAAAGATTGAGACGTTTTAGAACTGACTTCAAACAGACGAACTGCAGGGACATCAAAGAAAAAAAAAATACAGTTGACAGTGACATAAATTAAATTGTCCCTGCAAGGACTGCTGTTGAAGTACGCTTCGTGCAATATAAATATCGAGATTTAATCTGAAGTGGCTTTCATAAACCCGCGATTTACACTTTATTACTATTTATTTTTAACGTCATCACACATTATTGCACTTTGACTATTTCGCGGGTTTATGGAGACCACACGACAATAGAGTATTTTATTAATTTACGTATTAATTTGATTCTTATTTGTTCCATCAAAGAGGATCAGACTTGACCCCTTCGTTCGAATAAACCGTTTCCTTTTCATAATAATTGGATCACCTCTCCCCAGTCTTTCTTATCCCACTCTCCGTTTGGGTGAACATTGGCCGGGCTGGCCTTCCAGTCCCAGGTTTTGACCGGTGTATTCCAGTTATAGCCATAGTTTGCTTCGATGTAAGACTGAGTTTCGCATGGAACACGGACTTTTAGTTTAAGGAACTCGGTCCAACATAGTGTAAACTTTGGAAATATATATCTACAACAAAGAGTCCATTTTAAAGTCGAGACAAAGATAGAAAAAAGTAGGTATTTTGATGGAGAAGCTTGCAATAGCGGCATGTTTAATGAGCATGCGCAAAAAGCAAATGACGAGCCTTAATACGCATGCTCCTATTTTGATCCCACATGGCAACGTGAATGCATGAATAGATGGATAAATACTGAGAAATTTTCATACTTGAACTTTTTTCCTGTTCTTGCTTGAGTTCCTCCGTTCCACATGTGGTCAGTCTCTTCATAGAAGAAGAAAATATCCAGCTTGACATTATCCATTCTTGGTTTAAAAGAAAGCTCAAAACTGTCTTCAACCTGAAAAAACCCTGCTCATATCAAATAATGATATTGAGAATTTCATTACATGGGGACTATGGTCGATAGGAAATGAAGAATTTTATTGTAGACCCTTAGTTTCTTATAGCTTAACACTCTAGTATACCAAACCATCTAATAAGAGAATATATAAATGAATCACCAAATGGATGAGTGGGAAAGTGGATGAATGAATGGACAAAACTTCGAGTCCTAAATAGCAATAAATACATGCTAAGATCTGGTCCACAATGATGTATTTTCGTAGCTTTATTGCAAAGTTCTCTTGCTGAGAGGATAATAAAAAAACACACACAAGAAACCTAAAAAAGCAAATGACAGTGTGAAGGGCGAAGAAGTACGGTAGGTTATCGATGGGTTTTCATTGCGTACCTTTCCAAATTTATGCTTTAATGTAAGGCCATATCTTTCAAACCTCTCAATAAGCCTGGAATCATAGTCTTTTATCCAGATTCCTATATCAACATCTTTACTATATGGTATAACACCACATTGCCGAAACCATCCTAAAAAACACAAATCAAATCCATTACAATGGATTTGCTACCATAAATATTTCGTGTTTTACTGAAATACAAACCTAAACACGTTCCACTGCTCAACCAGAAGCGAATACCCAATGCATCCAAGGCTCTTTTGGCTATTTCTAAAATATTTCTTGCTACTGTTGTAAATTGCTCAGCCTCTTCGCTCAATTCTTCTCCATAATTGGAATAAAATGTCTGAGCCTGCTTAACGTTACATTCTAGAAATCTAGAAGTTTTCATCTCAAAGAGGAAAGTGTTTGGTTGTTTGGGGATCAGCATTTTGATGCCATCAATGCTTTTCTTCTTGAGTTCAAACCTGGAAGAAAAATCTGAAATGCATCTGGAGCAATGAAATGGCAAAGGACACTGGGTAAATTTTGGAGTTGTGTTTTATGTGAGAAAAAAAATGTATGTCAGACAGCATTTAACTATTGGAGTTCGCATAACAATGAAAATTACAGTTAACATTATTAAATAAAATGATTCTGTTTCAATTTCTACATACCTACTATATGCCGCTGCAGTTTTACCAAATGCAAGTCCTGGTTTCTCAATCTTATTATTTATTTCTGATACTGAGCCATGCCACAAGAATTCTTGTCTTTTGTAGAAAACTACAAAGTCTATTGTGTTTCCATCTTTGGTGAAGGAGCAATGAAAATCAATGGAATGGTGGATGGTCTTGTCCACTGTGATGAGTCTAGGGTCTTGATTCTTGCAACACTTGCTGTTAAATCCTTCTTTTATAAGCACAACTTCAAAATTATCCTAAACAAATTATAAACTTTTAACTATCACACTGAATGAAGATTAACATATGAGACACAAGCTCTCTCTGTCATGCAAGGAAACAGGATGCCCAACAGTGTGAGGAGCAAAAATGAAGAGGGAAAATAAACCCCTTTAGTGATCTCTTTTACGCTGTGTTATCCTCAAAACAATGTAATAAATTTTTATTCACTAACAGTCCGTGCAAATGCAAGAGATCTGTGCATAGAAGACAATGGAACTAGTTTGAAATCTCATGAGTTTTATCTAAATTTCTGAATATTTTAGCACACAATTACGGCTAACACAGGGTAAAAGAGATTGTAAAACTCAAGTATTACAATAAATCAACATAATTCATTTGTATTCACGGATTCATTTTCATTATTTATTTTCCATTTCCAATATTTTTTTTAACATACCCTCATGTCAGTCCATTGATCATCAAACACACCAAGAAGTATCCTGGGTTTTCCACAAACATAGCGGCAGTTTGACTTTAGAAACCGAGGTGCAAAATACCAGATAGATGAGGTGTTACCTGATATTTCTTCAATCACCAGGTCTTGTAAGATATCTGGCTCTAGCAAAAATGCCCTGAGGTTGAACTCGTCCAATATTTGGGAAATGGTGTTGAGGTTTTTCTGAAAGAGAAAGATTTCATACTTTATCAAAGAAAACATGAACTGGGCCATTAGAAATAGATATCATTTAAACAAACAGTAATCTAGAGCAAGTTACAACAATGACACAAGAGTGAACCAAAATCTTAGAGCAAAAAGCAAATTTTATTAAATACAAACCCATGCCGGACTTTCTTTCTTATTTTCCAAACCAAATCTCACGGCTTTCCCTAATTTGGCAGTCCATGATCTCTAATGAGAAATAAATGAATAAATATTTCATGAATGAATGAAAMTTGGAAGAATGAATGGATAGATAGTAAGTTGAAAAAAATCTGGTCATTTTTAAGTGCTTAAAAGGTACAGTATTTGACTTGGAAATATTCTGTATTATTGTTTTAATCCACAATTTATAATGTGATAAACGCATGACATAACATGTATACTATATTCATTTTCATATGTAAATGTTCCTATATAGAGCATTAATTAAGCTTAAGTCGTTATTGTTTACTGATTAAACTGTTTACTGACTGCAGGCATACCTTATTGACTGTCACTTATCTTGGCAACAAGTTTTATATTTTTAAATAAATACACAATATTGCAGACATAATATTGACATAAGAATACAAGAATTATTAAATAGCCGTTATTCAATTTTTTTGGTAAGCAGATTAAAATCAACTCGTAGAATAACATTATCTATGAAAGACATGAAACATTTATGGTATATAAAACTTAAGCTTAAATATGTTTCACAAATGTTCCAATATTTTAAAATATAGATTCGGCACCATAAAATAACAGGGTTTTTTAATACGATTATTTCATAGAGATTTTCTCATCGTCAGTATGATATTTAAGTGCATATGTATGCCATACATAAACAGATAAACCTTTGTTTTAAACAGCTGGTGTTGTGTGACAGCCCGAGCTCTAAAATTCTGGTCGATATTTAGATCCTAAAGTGGTCATATATATTACTTCAATTCAAAATAATAATGTCCACGCAAGGCTAAGTTTTGAGCTAGAAAGTCAAGCAATGACTCGTAATCGGATTACAAGTATACATCATTAAATTTTAATTGTTTAAGTTATATTTTTCATTGTACAATGCAAAGTTTATTGCCAAAGAGAGCTTACCTGTTCGTCTAGACCTTTTATCGAGATGATTTGAAGAAGCAAGAAGGACAAAGACGCAAACAACAAAACGACAAGAATAATAGCTCTCCGCATGGGTATGCGATCAAAGAGTAAAGATTAGTTAACTATCATAGCTTGAAAGGGAAAGTTGTATGATCTCTCGCTATCAAAACCGCCATCTTTTATATTATGAGCATACGATCGTTACTACTCAGCGGTTTTGATATTTTACACAGGAAACCCATGGCGATAACACCTGGAGATATTTGCCTAAAAGAAAAAAAACGAAAAAAAGGTCTTGTTGTATGAGTTCACCAATAAACTACAGGGATTGCCTAGTATTGAATACTAATAAGGATACATATAAATATTTCGTTTTGCCGAAAATTTCTGAATGATTTCGAAATTAATTGGCCTCTTTAACTGTTTTAAATCCCCGCATATATACGTGTAGTTCTCGGCCGTTATTAATATTACAATTAACAGATGTATAATGAATAAGTACGCGATAGGCTATAACATATTCAACAATAAATCATACCTTCCTCGAGGACAGGTGTTTCGTGGAGAATTCCCGGATGAGACTATTTGTTAATTTATTCAAGAAAAACACCGACTGAAAAAGAACTATGGCATGAAAAAACGACTTCAATTCAACATTGAAGATCCCTCAAACGGCAACGAAATGTCGCCTTCAGATAGCCGACGAGAAACGTTTGCAAGAAGGGAAACACAGAGCTTCAAAAATACATCGAAAGACGTCAAAGACAGAGTGATTATAAACTGTGGCGGAAAAAAGTTTAAACCCTATTTGAGCACATTGAAAAACATCCCTGACTTGCCACTTGGCAGAATTGTAGATAACAAAGGAAAGCTGGACTATGATCCAGAAAACGGCGAGTATTTTTTCGATCGACATCCAGCAGTATTTGCCCAAGTATTGAATTATTTTCAAACTGGGAAGCTTCATTGCCCGAGAAATCTTTGCGGGCCTCTCTTCGAGCAAGAACTTGCGTATTGGGGAATCGACGAACAGCAAATGGAGTCGTGTTGCTGGAGTAATTACACAAAGCATAGGGACGCCCAAGAGAACCTAAAAGCGCTTGATTTTAGGCCAAGATATGACGAAGATGAAGGCTTGCGAAAAATACGCTTGAATCCAAATTTGTCATTTTGGAAGCGACATCAGCCGATCGTGTGGGAGATCCTTGATGAGCCGTATTCCTCGTCCACTGCAAAGGTTTGATCTATTACTGAGCAGCAAATATAGAAATTATGTCAAAATTATACTAAATGATTTTATTCTTCATCGATCTTATATTTCATCATGTTTCGTTTTTACGGAATCACAAATTAAATAAGCGTGCGATTTGTAAGGATAAGAGCACAGAAAAAGCTACTATTTGTGATGATAATGAGGCTTCTTAATTGTACAAAAACTATGACTACACCATAGTATCCATATGCTATGGGAGCCTTTTTTCAGGTAAAGCGGCGTGTGTATATAACTATTGATAGATGCCTTTAATCAAAAAAGACGGACTCATGGCTTCTAAGTAATGTTCAATACCAAAAACGCTGCACTTTAATTTTCATGTAATTGCTTTATCTTTACTGTCTGCAAAAAATTGATCTCACAAAAGAAATTATTTCAACTGTATTTCTTTGTTTTTACATCTAAGTAACCAATTTCTATTCCTAAATTTCACCAGATTTTTTACAGTCTCGGCTATGTTGAGAAATAACGGTTTAATCTTGTTTTAATATTATATATGTAAAATGGAATGAATAAATTATTGAACGATGGATCGTTTGTTTAAGGTGTTTGCCTGGTTTTCGCTGATTTTCATCATTATTTCCATATTAATCGTGTGTTTGTGGACTATGGACATCTTAAACACCATTCACCAAGGTCCCAGTCCCTTACTGAAGAACCACTCCAACAGTAAGTCAGTCCGTACGCCACTGTCAGCTCTCTGTTATAACGGACACCTGTGTTATTTAAAGTTCTTTGAAGTGGAGTTTAGTGTCCGTCATAACGGGGTGTATTAGAGTGGTTTTCATAAACTCGTGAAACAAAATGTAATAATTATAAAGAGTGTAATACATCGTAATAGTCGCGTAGAGACAATAAAAAACAAAAGAGCCAAAGTGTAATAGCGATAAATACGCTAAACTGTGTTTCACGGGTTAATGAAAACCACTCTAACAGCAACAATACATTTCAGTCTTAGCTAGTCTTGGAATAAGCTACAGTTGTGTAAAAATATAAATTTAACAACGTCAACTTTTAGAGTGTTAAATATATCTTTCAGTTACACAACTGTTTCTTTAGAAACACCGACGCAGCTCATACTGTTTACCACTAGTTCCCACCCTTTTGGAGTAAGCTATGTAGTTTCACAATATGTGCGTATATCTGTTTTTGCAGTTACGAATGCTACAAAGATCAAACACGGTCCTCAACACTACCCAAGAGACGCACGAATGATAATAGACTCCCTTCTCACGGGCTGGTTTACACTGGAGTTCATCCTACGACTTATTTTCTGTCCAAGTAAACTCCATTTTGCGATGACTCTCCAGAACTGGGTAGACTTGTTTGTCTTAGTCCCCCTGTATTTGATGCTCTTCCTGGAGCGCTCCACGACTATTGATGTGTTGAATACCTTGAGAGTGTTTAGAATATTCCGCTGCTTCAAGCTTATGTACGACCTGCAAATCCTTACAAAGACAGTGAAAGCAAGTCGCCATCATTTGATGATGCTGCTGTTTATACTCATTATACCTGTCATTGTCTTCTCAAGCCTGGTTCTCTACTCGGAAAAGGCCTGGGGAAATAATTCTAACGATACAAAACGAGAAAAGTATGTATAATTCTCCCTTTTCATTTTAATAATTGAAGATTAGTTGCATGGCATTGAATTTTCAGCGTGCTAAAGCAGCTCCATTGTTCAGTTTCGAATTCCTTGACGGATGTCGCAACTTAACTTTAGTGACTCGCGCGCCTGAGAAGAGATTACCACAGCTGTAAGGATCGAAACACAAATAAATATCAGTTTTCATTATGACTCTTCCTAGCTGCAATTTTAAAATATTTAGACAAATATAGATATACTTGATATTTAATATGGAGTCTCTCATGCATGTGTTCCTTACCGATTTTCAGTAAGAAACATATTTTGTTACTCTGTTGAGTGAATTCTGTTTCCATTGATTTTCTTTTAGGTTCGAAAACGTCCCTAATTCTGTTTGGTGGGGCATAATCACGATGACCACGGTTGGGTACGGTGATATGGTCCCTGCATCTGTCGTGGGTAAAATCATTGGAGGCATTGCATCCATATGTGGTGTCATTATCTTATCGACCTCGGCAAGTGTTGTTGGAAGCACATTTTCCCTGTATTACAACCTAGCTCAAGCTCAAATGAAAATTCCTAAAAAGCGAAGGAAAATTGATGTGGAATTTCAAAGTCTGCCAGCAGTCCTTGCATGTCGGTCGAGCCAAGCGGACTCAACAGTGACATCGTCAGATAGTGGGTACCAAAGATCTCCCAACCGGCTTCAAATATGCGACAGGAACAGTTTTGCTTTTGAAGGGAGCAGTAGTGGAGGTGTCAGCGGTAAAGTACCGTGTGTCTGTACATGCGCAAAGCCCGAAAAAGAGAAAGAGACAACAGCCTCGATTTCAATCCCTATGACCCAGACCTCTCCCAGACCAGCTTTGACGAGAAAGGCTAGTATCAGAAGAGAAAGCATTCTTGTGTGACACACTCTATGGTGTCTTTGATCGAGGTTTTTCAGCGAGAACTGACTAAAAGATACTTGAGGAACGGTACTCGCCCCAGGGCTAAACATTAAGACTCAGTTTAGAGAGTACACTACCTACCAGCATTGATTATGTGAAAACATTTGATGATGTTAAACCATCTTTGCCGTCTAGACCATGTGCGATAATGGACCATTACTAACTGTACAGACACAAACCGGAAAAAGTTTTCAAACCTATATAAAAAAAACATTAAAGGCCTAGTTTGTACCATTATGCTTTGCGTACCTCTGTTATTGTTATGACTTACACCAGAATACTTCTAGCATCCAAATATCACCATAAAACGAATGTCAGCGTTTTAAGTGCTTAGAAAAGTGAGATGTTCAAAGATTTGAAACTGCACGGTACAATTTATAGACTTTCAGTAAAATGAAAATGGCCGCCTCCAGGCCCGCACAGCCCCCAAAGCATAATGGTGCACACTGGGCCTTTAAAGCTTACAGTCAAAAAATGTATTAAAAACGTACATAAACTGTATATGTCAATATGGACAACAGGTATTAAGTATTCAGCGAACATTGTCTAAGGTATTATAGTAACAACCTTTCCTGTTTATTCAGATAGTCAAGCACAGGTTGTCATTGAAATGGTCGTTATAACATGTTAAAACAACTCAACTAGAAAAACGTAAAGAAGTTGCTAATGATATGAGCTCTAAACGCAAGTCATGTTATGATAATTCAGCTAAACCTTTTAAGATAACATGGACATGTAAAAAGATTAAAGACTTATTAATATTACAGACGCTATAGTCCTACCGTCGGAGTAAAATTTCCAACGACTGACTGAGGACTAACGCCAGTAACGCCAATGTGTACCCTAACCGCTATTAATAACAAATTGCAATTGAAATTGTGACCACGGAAAGCACATATATGAACATAGCCGGACGGAGTGCTATCCAATTAATTAAAATTCAAGACGACGCTGATTAATCATACTTCAATGTGATCTTTTTAAGTTTGTTCATTATTTTCCATGTGTTTAGAGAAGTAAATCAACATAATTTGTTACTTGTCTGGTGTGTCGTTGATTACATGGTCCGGGAGTGCTAAACTTTGTGCCAATTTAATTGTCTTCAATTTTTCAAAGTGCAAAACGCTGCACGCTTTTCAGGTTCTACGACGAGCAGTCTGTAATAATGAATATTCTGTAATCACTTAAATGTCTTCTGTGCTAAGAAAAGTATTTAAGTACACGGCCAGGAAGGTAATAACGGTCATAAGGACAGAAACAGCAAACAAAACCCTGTTCAAGAAGAAAGAGATATCTTGCCATGTTGGACTGTCAAACTCTTTCGATTCAAACTGGTTGAAGGCTACTGGGATATCAGAAGGAGTTTCAGCGCCATTGGCAGTACCATTAGCAGATGGCATCACTTCAATTTTCTTTTTTGAACAACAACAGTAGTAAAATCTTTGGAGCCAGCCATAAGGTTGTCCTGTTCCATGATAACATCGAAGGATTATAATTGTGAAGACAAGCATCAAACCACTCATTATAATGGCAAGGACAAACAGCAATCCAGTGATTGGCAACTGGTTGGAGGTCTCGGGAAGCACTTCAGCAATAAGCAAGAGATACACTGTCATGGCGAGAAGAAGCGTTGTTATGAAGCCAATTCTTTCCCCACTTTCACTGGGAATGGCGAAGCTTACCAAAGTCAAAAAGCAAAGTACAACGCTGGGTATTATAAAGTTTAAAATAAAGTATTGTGGTTTCCGTTTAAGGATGAACTCTGCCTCTAAACTTTCAAACGGTTCTACACAGCACGTGTTCTTTAATACTTTTTTGCGCAAAGTGATATTCTCAACAGACCATCCACCACTTGTAGTAAATTTGTCTGAAATAAAAAAAACATTTTTATGTTTCATCGAATACGGATGTATCCTATTTGCAAAAACGTTTTCTGCATATCAGTTCCTGGCTGATATTTAATTCACTGAAAAACTAGGTTCATCAAAATTGTAGACCAATTAACGGCTTAGAGAGCTTTGATACGATGAATTTCACGAAAGGAGCGCGCGCTGCTAGACTCAATTTATTATGTAAAGCGGAGTGCATGATCAGTGGGTAATGGGAAAGCGAAATTACATTGATTCCAAAGATCGCCATTGTTCTGTCACTATTGCTGAAATTTTGCAAAAGAGGGCGCTGGAGAAGGTTTCATTTTTAGTGTAAAGAATTGTTAGTGGGTTAAGGAAAAGAGAAATTGCTGTCCATCGATTTGAGGACAATAAAAAGAGGAGGTCGTTGGAAATTTCTTACAAAATTTCTTTGGGAACCCCTTTCAACCCCCTCTCTAATTAAAGAGGTTATGTTTTTACCTGCTTTGTTCTCTCTCTGTCCCAGTATGTTCAAACTAAGCTTTCTATTTCCATAAGTATAAGAGGAGAATACCATATTGCACTTTTGGACATCAAATGGCCAGAAACGAACATTGATATCACAATCACTTTTGAACGTTGCTGGAGCTCGCCAAGTACATATTCCGGTATTGTCTACTATTACCGCTGTTTTGAACTTTTGTTTTCCGCCAGCTACAGAGAGTGATTCATCTGCACTGTAAATAACATTGAAAATGGTGTTGACTTTCTTTCCTCACATGTAGAAAGGACAGTAAATTTGTGTTGGGGAAAAAGAACTATCCAGGCAATGAATACTTTCATAAGCCTTTTTGACCTTAAAAACGTTTGCCAGGAACAAAATTATTTTAAAGAAGGACGCCACATTTGCTTGTGTGAGACTATTGCTCAAAATCCCTTTCCCAGGAAAAATGCGTACAAGAACAGTTATTTAGAAGAACAGACCCAGTCGGCTCCTCCTGTTCGCCGGGATGGGCATTCTTAATGGGTAATACATAGCATCACTGGAGCCGGATGATATAACGGCATGTTTGTTCTTGAGTTCTTACTTACTTGTTCATAAGTCCAATATCAGGGATCCAGATATCACCAGGATCAACTACAACACTGCTAATACCTCCAGCTACAGATGTGCCCCACTTTAAAAAAGGGTTTTTCCAAACCTACAGCATAATAGAACAGAAAATATGACACTATTCCTGCATGGTACATTGTTGTAGATCATAAAGATTTCTTGATGTTATTACAAATTGAGAAGTGAGGTTTTGTACGTGCATCTGGTGTATAAACCGAAAGGACGTTATTCTAATAACTTTTTTGTATATTGAGGCGATTATTTCGGTTCCTTTCAGTCGCAGTTCGACAAATCACCGTTTCTTCCTTAACCTTTTTTGGAAATTATTATATTTGTAAATAACTTGACAGTTGTGAACTAAAGAATAGATCCTCAAAGAATTTAGATGAAAGTGCTAAATCACCTGTGTCACCCAAAGGCTGACCGTTAATTCCTGCCTTTTACTGTCCTGTTAATATAAAAGTAACAACAAAACTTTATTGATTATATGTAAGTTGAAGCAGTACAAATATTTTAGTTATAACTGGATGCTTACCACATTCAAGATTTTTCGTAATTGAACTCCAAACTTTATATCTATTGGAAGACTGTCGTTCAATACAGGACGAACTGCTTTGTTGTATTGGTCGAATAATAAGTTCAAAAGCTTGTGTTCATTGGATGAACTTGATTTTGCACTGACACCTAATGATAGAAAATGACAATACAATTGAAACAGGAGAACACAACGGAGCCAGTTGGAAACTATATTTATTTGTGACGAACTTTTTCCACTTCGTCAGTTAACTAAGCAGTCGAACAGACCGTTCCGCATCACCACTGTCATATATGAAATGGATTTAACCTTGAAATGAAGTTTTTAATAAACTACAGCCAAATAACGTAATAAACTGTACATTCATAGTATTGTATTGGAGCTCTGTTACTCCTTTTGTTTCGCAAGTTACTGAAAAAAAATTATTAAGAAAATATTTACATTTCTAATAATGGAGTTGTTTTCCTTCATCTGTGAAAGAACAGGCAAACTACACAAAACTTATGATAGTATGGATATAACATTGTTTTATTTAGTTCACTTTAACAGGTAGTTATGTCAGGTAGCCGTTTTTTTCCGACAGGCTGGTGACTTGCAGTGGCACTCTACGGGCTCCATAGCCAGACAAACATTTGATTTAATACTTTCAAACATGAATACGAATCAAATAACTGAAGACAGAATTGAAATATCAAAGTGCATGTATAATGAATGTGGTTTTAACACAAATCGAACAATACTTGCCATGTATAATAAAAACAATACATGTCTAAGAATCTGCTGAATATGTTGATGACATCTTTCACAGCATTCCATGAATGTATTCAGTTTGTTTATCACGAAATAACAAATTTATCAGAATTGTATTACAACATGGCATTAACATTGCACTGGTTGATCGAAAAGAAATATTGTGCGTGGATTAATTTGCACATTTTGTAGCACACCATTCTATGAATGCACTGTAAATATCGATCAGATGGAATCTATTCAGCCCATTCATATCACTCACCAATAATAAGGCACTGACTACTTAATACTACAAGTATAAAGCACAGGTTGACATAGAAAGACATCTTGAGACTTAGATGGTACTTAAAGTGAGATCAGCAGCTTTATTATAAAAGTTGTTAAAATGATTATTTTATTCATATTTGTTGTGATGCCATAGTGATCACGATGACGTAAAGCATTTACGGAATGATAATAAATAACTCTTTAAATTAGACATTCAAAATAGAGCCTGCGTAAGGACAGTTATAAAACTCATTAATATTCATAAGGCAAAACACAATAGAAATCATAGCCCATGAAGAGAGTTGTATATTACATACAGATCGCCCGCTCATATTGTATATATTACATAAAAACTTCACCGATTGGTACATTAAGCAAACAAACTAGATGGTCAATATTTTTCTACGTAAGCGAACGTTTCTGATGACAAAATGAGTTTACAGCCCCCTTAAGAGTATGTAATCTGACTCACAAACGTTTTGACATTGGACCAGAAGCTGTAATAGCTAATTGATATTACATCTATATACGAATAAATATACGAATAAATGAAAGAAGAAACCATGATGTAACCATATAAATGCTTTAAATGATAATTTGGTAAATCTGTAGGATATAATTCAGATTAAAGATATAATTATAGATATAATTTAAGACATAAGTATCATGATGTACTATACATCTAAATAATAAAACTATGTAAAAATTGGCTGTGTAAGCTGTGCAAACATCCATCTTAAAAGTATTCTTTCGTGCAAATTCAAAGTGCTATTTCTGCGTCAAAGTCGAATATCACTAATGCCAAGTTCAAATACATGCGAAATTCGACGAAGCATATCCAAACGCTAGTCAATAGCCGACTTGCGAATTACGCATCAATAGTCACATACAAAGGAATCAAGACGAGGCGCCGTGCTTTTTTGTGAAAAATCTGTTGTCTTTAGCACGGCGCCTCGTCTTGATTCCTTTGTATGTGACYATTGATGCGTAATTCGCAAGTCGGCTATTTCTAGGGTTTTTACTTGGTTACTGAAGAAGTCATTTCAAAATGGCATACAGTAGAATAGCGAGATAGGTACAAGTAACCATCAAGAAACATAAGACAAAAAAGATGGAGTTCAAAAACCCTGCGATGTCTTGCCAGGATGGATCAATGTCATCTTCGTCTGCTACTTGAATAGAAGGATTTTCAGGCAATTCAGCAGCGTTAACAACACTGTGCAGCTCAACCTCCTTGATATTTAACGGTGAAGGAGTGATCCTGATGATTGATTTCTTACAGCAACAACAGCAGCATCTTCGATATAGCCACTGGAGCCAGCCATAAGGCTTTCCTGTGCCATGAAAACACCGCAACACTACAATGGTCACGACAAGGATGACAGCGCTCTCGATAATCGTAAGGACAAACAGCAATCCAGTGATTGGCAACTGGTTGGAGGTCTCGGGAAGCACTTCAGAGATTAGCAAGAGATAGACTGTCATGGCAAGAAGAAGTGTTGTTATAAAACCAATTCTTTCTCCACTTTCACTGGGAATGGCGAAACTGAGTAAGGATAGCACACATAAGACGACACTAGGAATAATTAGGTTAAGTATGAAATACATAGGTTTTCTTTCAAGCTCAAGTTCAAATTCCGCAATCCCGAATTCCATATTAGCACTTGTTTCTCTTTTTCTTTCAACCTTAATCCTATTTACAGTCCAGTCTCCACTTGCTTTGAAGCGATCTGGATTGAGAATCAGATAGTAGAGTTAATCAGAACGTGGAACACAAAAAATGAGGATGAGATCAAAACGTGGATGCCTTGGTTTAAAGCCATACATCAAATAGGTTGAAGGGATAACTAGTATGAAGCGAAAATGACCAGCAGGGCAAAATGGACGAGAAAGGTGCCCGGGGGGGGACTCCCTAATATCAAAGGGCGGGGGTCCTCGGCGTCTCTTTTAGGGTTTGAAATCGGTATTTTGGTCCCGCTTAGGGTGATAATGACGAGAATTCCCACCAACTGAGTTTTGTGGTCCCTTTTAGGGTATATGACGTCCCTAAGCCGTCATTATGAGATCAAAAACCACAGCTGCTAATTAGATGATTGATTTTATTTTAATCAATTTCACGTCTTGTCACTTAACACTCCTTAATAGACGAGATTATTGGACCCTTTTAGGGATGAAATTTCAGAACTGCCACGCCCATCATCTCCAAATACAGGTCCCTCTGAGGGGTCATTTTCATAATTTCCGCCGAGGACCCCCGCCCTTTGATATTAGGGAGTCCCCCCCCGGGGAAAGGTGACGTGATTTGAATAGGGAAGCATTCCTATCATAATATCATACAATACAATTGAGTGTTTTCTTACTTGCTTTGGTGTTTGTTTGATTAAACAATATCAACTTTAATTTACTGCTGGGCAGAGTATAAGATCCAAAAGACATCTCACATTTCTGAGTGTCGAAGGGCCAGTATTGGACATCAATGTCGCAATAACTAGTAAATGTTGCAGGTGATTTCCAGAAACAATCACCATCATTACTCACGATTACATCGGTCTGAAACTTAATCTTTCCTCCAGCCACAGAAGTCGACAAGTCAGCACTAAATAAATAGCAATAAATAAAGATTATTAGTACAATACAAAACAACAGACAAACACTACAAGGACATCATTCTCCTTGTTTATTGTTTTTCTACTATTCAATATATCGAATTACTTGTTTATCAGCCCAATGTCTGGTGTCCATATTTCATTGGCTGAAACTGTTATCGTTTCGATGTTCCCGTTGCCTACTCTGTCCCAAGCAAGAAAGACATTTCTCCATCTCTATAAGAAACGACAACAAGACAGAATGTAAAAGTTATAAAGGATGTAAAGTTTTTCAAAATGCTCTCCACATACTTGCGTCACTGTGACTCCTACTGTCAGCTCTTGAGCTTTGCTATCCTAAAAACAGAACCTAAACCTTAGCTCCAACCAACCAACCAACCTACCAACCAACCAACCAACCAACCAACACAACTAGCACAAAGCACTTAAACAAGCAAGACTAAGCAATGAGCAAGTAATCATCATCGAAGTATACTTACAATTTTCATAATCTTTCTTAACTCCATTCCAAACTCGACCAGTACGAGTAGAGTGTCATTGAAAACTGGCCTAACTTTCTTATTATAGTTGTCAAAGATGATTTTCAAGAGCTGTTGCTCACTGGACTTAAAAGTTGCTTGACTTTCTACAATCAATCAAATACCACCATGAACATAAAGTCACTCCTTTCATTTGTGATCAATATAATTAATCCTAAATAAGCAACAATTTCCAACAATTTCACGGATTTACAGTTTTATTCAGTAATAAAAGAGCGCCGAAATAAGGATATAGCTTAGCGACCTGAATATTTGCAATTATGGCTGTATTTTAACTATTAATAATTAACAGTATAATTTGCACTATATATTCAAGGTATTATCCTCAATTACTTGGAAGCAGTTTAACGCGTTAAAAATTCATTATTATTATAATGATTGTTGTTTGTTGTCGGTGGTATGCAGAAGAAAGTCTTCCCTGCTAGCAGAGGCTTACACGGTAAATTCTGTCACGTAAACAGAATTTACCGTGTAAGCCTCTGCTAGCAGGGAAAAGAAAGTCGAACGAAAACGATTTAAAACAGTTCAGAAATAGTTAACAAAACTACAGAAAACTAAATTATGATTGTAATTTTGTCATCATATGACAATAATGAAACAAACTTTTCTCTGTTAACTTTGTCAATTCTCTGGAATGAGTTCCAAAACATCGAAATATGATGTTTTCAGATTAAAGAGATAAAGTGTACATTATTACGACAAAACTCAGGGTTTTTTTTTCACTCATACATCATGTCACTTTTTTTCATTTCTCGTTTTGTTTTTCATTTCGAGTAGTTGTTATAGTTTTTTTTTCCTTTGGACAAGATAACTCACGTAACTAATAGAAATAAAACAAACGATGCAATATATTGGCCAGCCATTTAAAGTATTTTCCCCCATAATTCAAGGTATGATAAGGATCTCATAATCGAAAATTTATGGACAGTAAATTGTGTCTTGAAATAGATAATAACGTTTTACCTTTGCTCAGGAAGATAAAATGGACAATTACAAATACCACAGACGAGGCACTGCAATTCATCATTGATATTTGGTCCGACGCTCGCTGAAAATGCTATAGTCCTCGTCCGTGTTAGATAACTTGTTAAGCCAATAGTTTCGGGCTTGTTATCTTGCAGCTGGCCTTGGTTTCACTACAATGCTAACTCACTAGCCTGGTTATATTGATATGTTAATCACTGTACAATGATGTTAACATAAACAAAGCATTACTTCATAGATAAATTTAAAATTAAAACATTTCGCATGATGAAAACAACGCCTTTAATTGCGGTGCAGGTCAAATGTATATTATTATAACTGACACTTAACATAATACTAATGATCAATATTCCTTGGCTGATATTATCACCAAGAACATAATACAAATATTTTGATCAAAACAATTGGACAACTTAATCGAGTAGATAACGAGTTGATTTTATTACTCGGCCGAATGGATTATAACTAGTAACTCACGAGCATGATCAACCACTATAGGGCAGATTTGAAAAAAGGACGATAAAGAACAATTTTTCATGCGACTTTGGTCTATCATTAATATACCATGGTTCAGTAGCCAATCCGGAATGCTGGATCGGTGATACTTTGATATTATAAAAAATAAAATAAATAAATAAATATAATTCTTCAAGAAAGCTGCTGTAGACTTAAAAAAAAATAAATAAAACAAGAGAAAACAAACAAAAACTGACAAAAAGCAAGCATAGTTGTGAAATAAGATAAATTTTACACAGTACTAAACTGGGAAAATAACTTACTGACGTTTTAGACGATAGTCCTTCATTACAGTTAAAACACAAAGTAAGACGACTTATTTATGAAAAGGAACGACCGAGGTGCTCTGGGTAAGAGACTCATTTGTCTATTTGATGTACAAAACTATAAGTGTTATCAATGTTTTCGACGCATGCGCATGTTAGATTTTTCTTCATGGATTTTCTCAAATCTTCTTATATATTTACAGCCTATGAAACTAATCGAGGTTTCGGCATCGGAATACTCGATACTTGTGCCCAGAGGTTGTCATTCTCTATAATGCTTGCAATGACTTGGATCACAGTCCATATGTTTCTGGCGGAACTAGTGTTTGAGAGTTCCCATGTCAATCGGCTCACTGCCCCAGTCTTGTGATCTCATCGGGATGTGCTAAAATCTTCATATCTAAATAAGTCAAATATAGTTTAATCATATGTAATATACTAAATTTATTATAGTCATACATATCGATGAGATATACCAGGTTTTCTCTAGTTGTAAAAACGCAATATCTTGAACCATGAAAAGATATGAAGATATCACAGTTTGCATGGTGACACATTTTTTTCGGCCAATCGGATCAATATGTATATAAAGATCGATAAATCGATATTATGGCTCCTGGGAAAAATATATCTGTTCTTATGTCCCAGCCAGCTGTAAGTGACAATTGTTTGCCGGCGGAATATTCGAGGAACTCTCCAGGTAAGGAATACTCTTCTAAGAATTTTGCCAGGAAAATAAAAATTTCCTAACTAAAATGACATATAAGCCGTTTTTGACCATAAAAACGTTATATGATACTTTTTTGACCTTAAAAACGTTTGCCAGGAACAAAATATTTAAAGAAGGAAGGGCGCCACATTTGCTTGTGAGATTGTCAACAATATAGCACAAAATCCCTTTCCCAGGAAAAAATTTGTACAAGAACAATTATTTAGAAGAACAGACCCCGTCGGCTCCTCCTGAACATTACATGGACGCTTGGAAATACTTCGCTACGCTCATTCGTGAGATATCMATTGAACACTCAAAGATAAAATTTCCGCGCGTCCATGTAATATCCTGATATAACAGACCATTGTTTGATATTGTTTATATATTGCGACCTATTAGCGAAAAACGTGGTGGCAATCATGCAAACAAGAACAGGAAGTTGTACTGTAGGCGATTCCATGCGGTCAGTACATGTCAGAAGAACCCAACGACGTGTTTTGTTCAATTAAGCTAAAACCAGTCCAATTAGCAACAGAATACGTATGCGAACAATKCACACAAATTTCAAAACTTTCTGGGAAAAAATTATCCGTTCTGCACTGCCAGCCAGAAAAATGAAAAGGTGAATATTTTACCAGCCAGATGGCGGTTTATGATTTTTTTTTCCCAGCCAGAAAGCGGATCGGCTCATTTTCGATTATGCCAGCCAGCGCTATCCAAAGTTATAATTTTTGCCAGCCAGTAAATTATGCTAATATATTGTTATCTATGCTGATTTTATCTATGAATTAGTGGCAAATAAGTGAATACTATGTGTGTACCAATGCAACTGTATACTGTTTAAGAAACATAAAAAGGTGCGTGTGTCTCTGTCCTCTGATATAAACACGATGGGAATTGAAAAACWCGAGAGAAGCAAGAAATCTTTCGAGCGAAAAACGAAAGTAAGCTGTGTCTCTGTCCTCTGATATACACACAGTCGTCAACCAATCAGAGCGCGCGTTATATATATCACAAATTTATAAAACGTTATAAAGGGGGCTTGGGTCCATTTTCTCACTTTTAGGGTTTCTGATCCCGGTTAAAGTATTCAAGTTTCACACAGTAAATAMAACAATRTTTYTATACAATAGCTTTTTATTTCTCTATCATAAGTTTAATTAAAGAATCACAACCAACCGGCGWACATTGTGAGCCTTAGCGCCATTTTAGGTGGACAAGCATTAAAATGGCGGATTCGTAGGATTTCTTAAAGTGAGCTCAAATATCGTCTTCCGTCCTTTCAGTTTGGACAGAATTAGCTTATCTATTGTATGTTTGACTCACTGTATTGTGGTTGATTCGGATTCTTTAATCCGACTCTTCCACGAGCTGTACAATTGTTTTTATATTTTAGCCTAAACTAAGTGTGCGTGCAGGAATAAACCTATTAGAAAATCATTTTTATTGCAAATTCTACTATAAAGTGTTTATGCGAAAAAATGAAAACGAAATCATGTATAAACAAGAGAATGAGTTTATTTACAAATGCACGAAGGAAGCTACATTATCTTTTTGTTTGGATATGATATTYACAGTTTTTAAATATTACAATAATTGATGATTGGACCAAAAGGGCTTGACGTCCATTCCTTAGTCGACTTACATTTATTTTCAATTCAAATTCTTATAGCTATAAACGATACGTTCCATTTTCTGAAAGATTCTATGTCATGTACCAACTATACTTGTTTTTTGTTTCTTTTGATATTGTTTTTTTTTTAATATTAAGGACGAAATCATGAAATCTTTTAAACTATGAAACATGCTTTCTGATTTTGAGATGCTAATTTGGCCTTGATCAGCATTTATATGATATAGCAATTAATATTTGTCTGGGATACTCAATCTATTATTTTTAAGACAACTAATAGTTTATGTTTTATGTCTTATTTACTGAACTGTAGGTTACTCCCAGACCAACGATAAAAAACAGTTTCCAGTCCATTTTCAAAAGACGCAACGGGATAGACCAGATCGGCTATAAACGTTCCCACCCAATTCAAACCAACCGGTAGCAAGTTTATTTGTTCGTTGTGTTTTTATTTCACAGTTGAATTATTAACAACAAAAGGTATTTTTCCCACAGGATTTGAATTGTATGGTATACGTGCATAACAAAGTGTTAGCCGATTAGGTCTATGCTGCTATTATTATTATATATATCACAAGAACAAACTCGATTTCAATCTGCACTGCATTCAAAACAATGCATTACAAAACAGTCATAAACAATTATTCCACAAATTTTTCATGATACCCCAAAAACAAAAAGAAATAAGTATTTTTTTTTTAATTCAACGAGTATCGAAAGATAACCTTAAACTAAGGAGGTACACTTATTGCATCATCCATACAGAAAGTACCCTAACTTATGCCAAGTAATCATTTTGAAYTGACATTAAAAAATTTTTAGGCAGCACATTTCATTGTATCCAAGGTCCGGTTCACACTACAAAATAATAAGATGCAGGAGAAAGCAATCCTTATCCCCCAAAAAGTAAGAGTAATAATGAAAAACACAAGCCAAAACTCCAAAACTAAAACATTTTTCATGCATTTCATTACCTTCATGCTTTCACTTGATCAGTTAGAAATTGTCAGTGCCAGATAACTAGATATAAGCAAAAGATCATTCTTAAATCAMGAGCAATCAATCTTTTGCTCGTACTGCGATCTATAGGGTGAACCGGCCATGAACATGCCACTTTTGACTTTTGAACTCTTCTGGACAAAAGTTAAAGATGGCGCAGGTAATCTCTGTCTTTTAGTGATACTCAGTAGTACTCTTGTGGACATTAGTTATAGATGACGCAGGTAATCATTGTCTCTTAGTGATACTCAGTAGTACTCTTGTGGACATTAGTTATAGATGGTGCAGGTAATCTTTGTCTCTTAGTGATACTCAGTAGTACTCTTGTGGACATTAGTTATAGATGGTGCAGGTAATC